CCTTCAGGTCATGAGACTTTCCAATGAGATAAACGAGAGAGGGTGAAAGAGATAATTGCGACACCGTGAGACTTTGAAAGGGACGGAACGGAGAATCCAAATGGGCGAAGAGGAGGAAGACGTGACGCGAGGAAGAGGAGAAGAAGGGAGCGGAGGGAAAATGCAAAAGTCAGAAACACCGAGAAAAAAGAAATAAAATATAAATTAGGGTGTCCCGCATAACGACGTGACGTAGCTTTATACTATTGAAGAGGAGGAAAAAAGATAGACGTTAATTCTTTAAATCTTTGATCGTTCATTGTTCGTTGTTCGTTAATTGTCGTTCGAATTGCTTCGCGCGATGCTCGGACGGCGTCGCTAATTAAAAATCCAGGTGTGAATTAGGATGCACACGCGTGCGCGTGCGGTACATGCGGATAGGCCACTACTGGTTCACGTCAGGCGTATAGATATACACATATGTATATATACAGTCATGTATAAATGTATATTGCTTATACCCAGCCAACTATCGGTCAATTATTTATTTATTAAAGAAAAAGAAGAAAAAAACGACGTCACGTAAATATAGAATCTCTCTCTTTATCTCTTTCTCTTTCTGTCTTTTTTTCTCATTATTTTTATTCACGTGTCAGTATCCATACCGTATACGATGTTTAACAAATGTATGCGAGCACGACGCAACACTCGACGGGGCTAATTTCGAATTGATAGACGAAAAGAAAAATGTTAATTATGTAGAATATTTTTGGTCCTTGGCGTAGCGATGGAAAGAGAGAGAGGGGTTCATCTTGAACATTTTTGAAAAAAAAAAAAAGTTGAAATTGAGAACAGAACAAAATCCGTGACAAAGATTTAAAAAGAGGGCCCAATAATAATACATTTGTCCGTCACAATGTTGAACCGTCGGGACCATCGCGGCGACGGATTTGAAAATTTTAAAATTAAAATTGTTAGTGTATGCGTGCGTGTCTCTGGTTACCTGATTACTGAAGAATAATTTAGGGATTAGTTGACGCAGAAAAATAGGGACATTTCTCATTGCTCGAAAGCAAGTTCTAGTCGAATCGCGAGATCCTAGTCAGTAATGTATTATTATTATATTTATTTACTATTATTATTATTAGCAGTACCCGGACCGATCATTGCAGGTCTGATAACTGAGTGATAAGGAACAGTGCTTGGAGATAGGGAGGAAAGAGAAAAATTAAATATCTTACACGTGGCGATTAGGACGTCCGCTTCTGATAATTGGCTGGGTATACCGACTAATTAACTATTACGCTTATGATTATAATCCAGGATATGATTACGTGGAGCGCGTTCGAGCAACGCGAGAGGGCCGGGACGTTTACGAGTCCCGCAGGTAATATATGAGATATATATAAATATATATATATATATATATATATATATTATATATTTATATATATATATGAAATTAAGAATGGAATAATTAATACCGCAAGACGGCGTGAAGTCCATTACGAGAGAGTGTGTGTGCGTGTAATTAACGATTAGGGAGGAACACATGTGCGCCCAGTGAAATAGCCAAGTGAGATTGGTGGAAACGAATTATAATTGCAAAAGGAAGCGAAAGAAAGAAAGAAAAAAAGAAAAGGAAAA